TAGCTCTACTTTCTTATTTTCTTCCTCAAGCCAAATTTGTTTATAAACCTCTAAATTGTTTCACATTTTGATGCTAACTTCAAATAGAAATAAAAACCTCAGACCAGCAAAAGAAAAACAACCAACAAAACAAAATACCACAGAAAGGAAAAGATTAGCTGAAAACCTGAACTGAAAAATACTTCTGAGTCTTTACTCTCCTATTTAATTAGTTGTAAAAAGATTTTAACATAATTTTCAGAAGTAACTCATATTCTAATTGTTGTACAGGGCAACATATAGTTTTACTTCCTCTTCATGTTGAAATCTTTCCATATTTTTTTTTTTGCTTGTCCTTCAGTAATGTGGTTAGAATAAGAAAATTCCATGCGGTGTTCAAGGACTGGCATACTGTATTTAAACAATGGCAATGTGATAGCTGAAATTATGATTTCCATCCCTTTCTGTCGAAGAGGTTAACATCTTCCTTGCCTTTTTGATTGCCACTGTACACTGAGTAGATGTTTTCATTCAGCTGTCTACAATGGCATTTTCTGCTAGAGTGATCATGATTCATTCATGAGATACATCACCTCTGTGAGAGTTTAAACTGCCCTCCTATCACCTTGCAGATGTCAGCACTGAATGTCCTCTATAGGGTTATTAAAAATTAGCTAACTCTATACATCCCTGAAATTTAGAATATAAATATGTAAAGGAAGCACCTGAAGCGTTGCTTTGACATCCTGTTTGTGTCAAACGTTCACCATAAGTTATTTCGAACCTTCCTCTTCCTCTCTTCATCAAAATACTCTGATAGCCTCAGAGTGCTTTGTAAAGATTTTGGGAATGTTCAGCCGTATTTCTGAAATGAGACAAAGTAATGTTCCAAAGTAAGACTGAAAGAGCCCCAAATGAATCATTCCAAATATTAAAACGTAAGGACATCACATCCACTTAGATTTAATTGAGAAACTGCTTGAAAATGGCTGATATCCAACATAATTAAAATGCTGAAGTGTGAACCTCTCTGGAAACAAAGTGAAACTATTTTGAGTTTGAGCCAAAGTATAACTTGTGAATGGAAAAGTTATAACAAGGAAACTGGAAAAAAAATCAGGGACTATAAAAGATTTTCCTTAGAATTGGCATCTGGCAAGCAAAAATTATTATTTTTCAAAGAGATGTGTTATTTCCCAGATGTCCTTTAACCACCAACTTGTTCTCTTCATACAATTGTAATGATAAAGCAGCTCTACTTATATATTGCTTTTTACCTATAATGTCAAGCCTGTTTTATTTTTATATCCCTTGTTTTTTCAAATGATTTATCTTCTACCAAGTCAAGGTGCCCTAAAGCGAACCCAAAAGGCTATTTTAAATATAAATATTTCATTGGGTACTCAGATGATTGTGTAGCTGAGTGTGATGGAGCACTGCTCTTACGTTTTGAACAACTTATTCTGCAACTCTTAGTTTTTAATGAATCTGATCCCACTTGTTACATGAAAATATCAGTTTGTTCTTATATATGTACAATGGCACCTCCATCTCTGGAATTACTTAGGGCTGGGTATATCCACGTTAATATCTGTCATGGGAGTGTGCTTAGAGAAGTTAATTCCTGGGTGTGATTCTGGTTTCTCTGAGGTCAACAAACACTTGGTATTTAATAATAGCTAACCTATTCCCTAATTTTTGCTGGGAGAGGACAGGGTAAGACTTGCCAGTCTGTAAAGGTTAGTCCCATTTATGTGAAGTAAATAGAAGACTCAGCACTTCTTAAGGTCATGCGTTAGTATTTCAAATTGGACATTTTTTAAAAGATATTTTATCCAAAGCACTGCTCCCTGAGACCAACATAAGGCTTCCCATCATAAATAGTTTGGTCTGCCCTAGCATTTTGCTGGCATGCATTTTACCCCCTGTGGAGCTAGGCAGGGAAGAAAATTGTTGAGAGCTGCCATGACCACTGGCTAGTAATAGGTGTACTTCAGAAAACTACCCCAATTTCTCTGCCTTACCTATTCAGCAGTCAATAAGCAAATAGAAGAGTAGGAGGACTTAAACAGAAAACCCCAAAATGGGTAAAACAGAAAATATTTAGACCAATATGATATTTGGAATAGCAGTAAAATAAGTAAATAAGCAAACAAGTAAATAAATAAAAATGAGGGAAGGTGCCCTAGGTTCTGACATATGGTCCTAAAATCAAGCATGGCTATAAGCACTGATGTTATCAAAACAGCAAAGAAACAAATACAATCTGGAGTTGTACAGCTCTAAAATGAAACACTGTCAAACATCTAATAATAATGATGGAAGCCACATACCTCTCAGTGACAACCGGTATTTTCCACCCAAACAACCTAAGGAAGAATTTTGGACTTTGCTGTATTGAACAGTTATGAGATTATGGGTAATCTGGTAGTGAAAAACACCTTTGGGTAGAATGCAGACTGTCCCAGTTTGCATCGATAGCAAGATAGCTCAAAACAGATCTGTTAATGTGCTTTTATTACAGACATGAAAGGTCTGAAAACCTAAGGGAACCAGTTACTTAAGTCAAACAGATTACTTATGGACTTGATAATTGATGGGGCTTGAAAATTACTGACAAATGCCCAAACACATCATGTAGACAAGAAGTCCAATTCCAAAGGGACTAATTACAGCTCTGGTAGCACTTAAGAGTAACACAGTTTGCAGTGAACAGAAAATATGGCAACTCATTTTAAAAATCACAGTGTTCAGGTGCTATATTAAAATATAAGCTAAAAACTGGAGCTGCACAGATCAAAATCAGTAAGTCTACTTAACCTAGAGTCCTGTGTTCAGCAGTAGCAGTCATTTTTCTCCTTTCTAGTAGCTGGTGTAGTGCTGTGTTTTTGACTTTAGCCTGGGAACAGCACTGGTAACACACTGATGTTTCTAATTGCTGCTCAGTAGTGCTTACCTTCATCAAGACTCTTCAGTCTCTCATGCTCTGCCACTGAAGAGGGGCACAAGAAGTCAGGACGAGGCAGAGACAGGACACCTGACCCAAACTAACCAAAGGAATATTCTATACCACAGCACACCATGCCCAGTATATAAACTGGGGAGAGTTACCCAGAAGGCTTGGTCCAGGCTGGGTATTGGTTGGTGGGTGGTGAGCAACTGTATTCTCTCTCCTTGCTATTTCCCTTTTCATTATTATTATTGGTGATAGCAGTAGTGGTTTGTGCTATACCTTGGTTACTGGACTGTACTTATCTCAACCCATGGGAATTACATTATTTTGATTCTTTTCCCCATCCCTCCGGTAGCAGGGGTATGGAGAAGTAGGGAGTGAGCAAGTGGCTGTGTGGTTTTGGGTTACCAGCTGGGCTGAAACCACAATACTTAAGACTTAAGTCTAGGCAGAACTAGGCAAATTAGATTAAAAAGGCTATGAAATTATACTAAACTTGCTTTATAAAAGAAATATTAATAGTAGGACACCATGAACATAGGTTTATCAAATGGTAGTTTATGAACACTAATTTAGCCATCTAACTTAACCAAAGCAAGGCTGACATGGTTTAATTTTTGCATGACTTACCGGCACACAGAGTGGGAGCCTACAGTAGGAAACAGCTAGAAGACAACCATCAAGGGCTTTTTTTACTGTTTGCTGTGTAAGACACTCTTACAATGGCTTTAACCTGACAGAGGGGACATTGCGATAAGAACTTAGGCAGAAGTTCTTCTCTGTGAGGGTGGTGAGACCCTGGCACAGGTTGCCCAAAGAAACTTCAGCTGCCCCATCCCTGGCAGCACTCAGGGCCAAACTGGACTGGGCTTGGAGCAATCTGGTGTAGTGGAAGGTGTCCCTAGCCACGGCAGCGGGCTGGAACTGGATGGGCTTTAAGGTCCCTTCTAACACAATCCACTTCCTAACTCCATGAAAAAAGTAATTCCAAACACCAGATGAAGAAACCTAATAACTCATCACTTAACAGCATTATTTGCGAGGGTAAAGTAATCATCAGAGGCTTATGACAGCGTTTTTCATACCTTGCCTTTAGCCAACAAGGTGGTTGCAACAGCAGATGTGAAAACTACTTTCCACTCATGCTGTCAACAGGGTCATTAATTTAAACAACTGTCATATTCAAGTTGGTAGAAGTATGACAGCATACTTGACATTTCCTAGATTACTTCTAATTACAATGTTAGAACAGGTTCCAAGACTACAGCTATAAATGGAAAGCAAGCAATTCTTTCCAAACACCTACATATTTGCAGCACTATCAATTTTAATAAGCTATAGAGTATTGCCAATGCATTTTCTCATCAGTTAGTTATTGCTGCTGTACTGTTTTCTAGGCTACCTCATCATCTGAGCCTGAAGCCTAACGAATACTGCAGGTCAATGACTATGTTTCAGCTCATAGCAACAGTAAGGCACCACACTACACAGACCTGGCCACAGCAGCTGTTTAGTGTGTCAGCAAAGGGAAGTAACACGTCCTCAACCCAGAAAACCAAAGATAAAAATTCCATACCATGGATCACGGTGACAGTATACCCACTCTGAGGCTCGCCAGTTATAACCTATTCTAGATCATTATTCTGTGACTAGTCTGAAGAGCATTTGAGATGTTTACACAGCTATTTGAATATCTGTCGTGGTTTGGTCCATTTGGGTCATGTGTCCTATCTCTGCTTCCTCCTGGCTTCCCCTCCTCCCTGGCAGAGCATGAGGCTCACAAAGTCCTTGGCCAAACCAAAACATCATTTTTATCAGCTCTGTTCCCAGCCCGAAAGTCAAAACACAGCACTGCACCAGTTACCAAGAAAGAGAAAAATGACTGCTACTGCTAAACCCAGGACAGTATCTACCCAGCTAAAAATGTTAAGCTCAACTTCAGTTTTGAAATGCAGTTTTCCCAAACCTCTATTTTCATACGTAAAGACAATTTAATATGAAGGTGTTCTCAGTACACATCCATTGTCAAAAGCAGTCAAGAGTTCCACAAAATACACAGCCCAAGAACTTCAGATTCAAGATTTTATTTAGTCATATCCGGCATGGTATGCAACTGCAGCTGTCCTTCCACTGAAAGAGGCTGTGTAGAAGACATCAGCTCTGCAAGAAAAAAAAAACACAAAGAATTAATAAATTTAAAGTCTCTGAATCTAGGAAAGCTGTAAACCTATGCTTTAACTAGAATTTTGATGGGCTTTGCTTTATCTGTAACATGCTTTTGTGGCAGAGGCCCTGACTTACATGAAATCATACAGTTGTCATCGCTCAAGTTCAACATAAGTCTACCGATTTTTTTCTCCTTAGAGAACTAAAAACATCAGATCAGCAGATGAATTACACAGACTCAGTTTGTTCCAATTATGAGATTCCAATTAGGAATCCTCAGGAATTTTAAATTCCAATTAGTAAATCCTCAGGAGGATTTACTGTTTCTCAGATTACAGAACTGGCAGTAGCATTTATTTCCAAATATGAGCAAGATTAAGATAAAGTGGACTTTCAACTGGGAATGGTATGTTTTGACAGTCTGAACTATGTTTGAGGCTTGTTTTGTTACCACCACCAGCAAGCATCAGTTAAAATGGCTGCTGCTTTTAACGACCTAATTTTAAGTGGAATTTACCCTGTAAATGGTTAGGAATGTTCTATGTAGATGGTGTGATTGTTTTGACATTGGTTGAACTGAAGTTCAATAAAACCTGTTTTCCACTGCATTTTAACTGGCACATCAGAAAGCGTTTACAGTATCAGTTTCTCATACTGTTTTGCTCACATCACACACACCAATTACTCCTCCAGATGACATGAACTGTAGCTTTATGTTTATTCAAAGGCACCAGACATGGTTTTGGTTTTCATTATTATCCAAATAAAATCGGTACCACTTGCTTGTCAGTTACGCCAGATGCAGTCAGAGGTGTGGCCTCTGGGGATTCAAAGTTAAGACAATGAGAGTGCAGCAGCCGATGAAGCAAACTTAAACCCATTCATTGCTTGAGTTTAGATACCATTGCAGACTACAACTCTAAGCACGTGGACTGCAAACAGATGAAAATTATAATAACGGTTTTAGATTAGACTCCTTAAAGCTCAGTTTCAACCACAGATTCCACTATGCTACAAAATGTAACACATCAGTTACCCAGTTAATGCAATTACGGTCTTCATTTCTTAAGAAGCTGGTGCCTGACAATAACAAAAGGGGCAACAAATCCACTTCCAAGGAATCCGCACATTAGTGCAAGTAGTCGCCATTTGTTGTCCACAGAAAATGGAAGGTTCTAGAAGAGAAAAATTTATTTTAGTTTTGTAATCAATAATTACTTCCTCCATGACTTGAAAAATGTGAGAAGTTCAGAAGAGTTACAGATGGAGTCAAACAGACAAAATTAATGTTCAGCCTGATGATAATTTCCCCTCCTTGAGAGGGAAATTACCACAGTAATTAGAACAGCTTGGATGTGACCTCTGGAGGTCATTTTGTCCACTCTTCTCCTCTACCCCTAATTTAAAGCAGGGCCAGTTTGCTGACAGCCTTGTCCAGCCAAGTATAAATGTCCCTGAAGATACATACCCCACAGCCTCTTTAGACAACCTGTTCCAGCATTTAGTTATCTTTATTGTAAGGGAGTTTCTCGTGCTCATCACATATGCAGAATTAGGTTTTGGATGCAGGACTTACAAGCACTTGTTAAGCGGAGGGTACATCAGAAAGCGTTTACAGTATCACTGTTGCCCCTCATACTGCAATGCTCATCATCTGTACCAGTGAAGGCTGCAAAAACAAACACTGAAGTCATCCGCACCACAACTTGCTTCGCTGTGGCCTCAACAGTGGTGCCATGAGACCCCGCAGCCCACCCGCTTCATCAGCTGAGAAGTGGCAACAGGGCAGCATTGCTCTGCATCCACTTGCCTGGAAGCTTAGAACCCGATCGTGTGCAGAACCCCTGCCGGGGGTACGTCCAGCGGGAAGCTCACCTTGAGCACGCCCGCGGCAGGACAGGCCTGCGTCTCATGCCGGAACCAGGCCAGGCCCGCAATGCGGCTTCAGCAGCGTTCTTACAGGTCCTAATTCCCAGCCCCGGCCCCTCACCCGGACTCACCCCGGAGCTAAGCCTGCCGCAGGATGGTCCGAGCGGCCATCCTTCCCCCTCTAGGCCGAAGCGGGACCCGACTCCCCCCCTTCCCCCCCCCGCTCCTCCCCCGACGCCATCTCCTCACCGAACCTGACTGCAGGCCCTTTCCTGCGACCTTCAGGCCACGCCGCAGCGGCCCGCGATCTTCTTCCCACCTTACCTTCCCCGGGCCTTCCTCATAGTGGCTTCTGCGGAGGGCGGAGGTGGTGAAACGGCGAACAGTGGTGGCCAGCATCATAGCGACCGACGGGACAACACGTACCCTGCCTCCTGCGACCTTCTCTCAGCGACACCGGCACCCTCAGAGAACAGGAAGCGGTGCCGGAAGAGAAAGAGGGAAAACCGTTCGTGCCGGGAGGCATGACGGGAGTTGTAGTGCGGCTCCGAGCTGCGCGGTCACGTGGTGCCGAGCCGCGGCATGCGATTGGACTAGCTCACCGCCTCAGGGGCGGGAGAGTCGCTGTGGGTCGCGCCCCTCGCCCCCATTTTGTGGGCTGCTCTAGGAGCTGGGTTACAGTGGTGGGGTGGAGAAGGTCAGATGTGGGGAACGGGGGCGAAAAACCAAATAACTGCGCTTGTTACCTCAAGCTAATCTTCACTGAAAGCTGAGGAAATTTGGACTGTTGAGCCTGGAAGAAAGAAGGCTGTGTGAAGACCTCTAGCAGACTTTCAGTGTCTGAAATGGGTCTGCAAAGATGGCTGGGAGGGACTTGTCATCAGGGACTGTAGCAACAGGACCAGCGGGAATGGGTTTAACCTGACAGAGGGAAGGCTGAGATGAGCTCTTAGGCAGAAGTGCTTCCCTGTGAGGGTGGTGAGGCCCTGGCACAGGTTGCCCAGAGCAGCTGTTTCTGCCCTGTCCCTGGCAGTGTCCAAGGCCAGGTTGGATGGGGCTTGGAACAACCTGGTCTAGTGGGAGGTGTCCCTGGTTGCAACATGGGGTGGGAGCTGGATGATCTTAAAGTCTTTCTGATGCTAACCATTCTATGATTCAGAATAGCACAGTTTTTAACCTGGAGATCCTGAACCTTTACTCCTTTGGAATGTCACAGGGTAGTGGAGGTGTGAGTCAAAATCTGAGCTTAATCAGCATTGCAGTAGGAACAGATGCTGCCTGTGTTGTCCTGAAATTAAGTATTTTTCATCTTGTGTGCAGAGAGTTTTTCAAACTTCCCCCCCCCCCCCCCATCTAATTATATTTCTGTGTGTCAGAGTTTATGGTTCTTTCTTCATTTCCTGATTCTCAAGTCTTGTTAGGGGATGCTCTCCTGCTTCTGCTAGCTCCCTTGCTGTTTATGCAGCCAGGCCTCCTTTGCCCGTCTTTCTCAAGCCTCTCCTAATTGGAATTAATAGCGCAGTGGTGCTCTGTGTCATGTGTGGCAGTCTGTTTGTCATAATTTTGCTGTATGTAGCTCTTCCCTATAGTGGGTTTTAAATTGCTTGTTGCTGATGAAGAGATGATGGATACAGGATAAAGTTCCATGTTAAACAGTGGCACTTCACTAGTGAAATTTTTGTACCAAATTACGATCTTCCATGTTAGTCAGCACCAGGTAAACCATTTGTTTTCTTCCTATGGTCTCCTAGTCAGCTGATTCACAAAATCAGTGGTAGGACTCAAAAATCTCTTTTCTGCTTAACATCGTAAGGTAATTTTTGCTCAGTTTACTAGAGTATAAGTTTAGTCACTCAGAGGAATTGTAGTTCTTGTCCTTATGCTGTTGTAGGTATTTTTTGGCATACTACAGCTGCTGTTGCTCTCCTGGTGGGGAGTGTGGTGTCACAGTACTACATTTCTACTACTGGGCTTGAGCCTGCCACCCGTATAAATTTTGTGTTAGGCAATAAGACTGTTAATTTTGAAAGCAGATAGTAAGCATCACATAGTAGAGAAAATTGCCCTACCAGTGTGAGAGTTTACTCACTGGCTTTCCTATGTATCCTGGTACTACAGTGTTACATTGATTGAGTACATTTTGGTATGTTTTTGATAGGCTGAAATGTCGTCATTTCATTTTAGGGCTATGTTGTGTTTAGTGTTTAGTCGTTTCTCATTTTAGGGCTATGTTGTGTTTAGTTTGCATAGATTAGTGTTAGAAAGGACAAAACCAGTAGAACCAGTATCTTCACTTCCAGATAATCCATGAATCCTCTAAACTGACAGTTACAGTGATGCAGTTACGGGCTTCCGTTAGCAGTAACAGTTTACTTCTTGAACTGGTGTTCTGCAGATGTTTTCTATGTAGACAGAAATAGCTATCTGTAGGTAGATAAGAGCGTGGTAGATCCTCAGGAGGACGAATTACTTGGATTGTAGCTGGTGGAGAATTTTGTATGAACACTCATATCTCTTTGCCTTCTAAGTGTAATATGGGAAATTAAATATGCTAGTCCAGGTGCTTAAGAAACCATGCAGAAAGAGTGTAGAAAACCAGTTGAAATTTTGGCAAAGAAATAAAAGATAATATTTTCAAAGTTATTAAAAATATGATACACAGTAATCATAGTGAGGATAAGCAGGTAGAAGGGCAGATTATTAGAGGATACGGTGAATGCTCTGCTGAGTACCTTTGGGAAAAGTCTGTCTAACTTACACACAAATTTGGGGCCTTACATAGGGAATTACTGGGTGAAATTCTGTTATGCAGAATGTTATGCAGTCCTGTTATGCAGAGGTGCAGAACACATTATTGTAATGGTACCTTCTGGCTTTTAAATCTATAAATCTTTGAATCTTGGCTTTTAATTCACACAACTCTTTTTTTCCTTTAAAAAAAAAAAACCCAAAAAACTGTTGCTATAATTCCTTAGATTTGCCTGGTTGTCGTCTTCATTTTCAGTAACATACTACATTTTGCTGCTTGTGAATATGACTAGGTGATGAATTGTTTCAGGTACTGCTTCCTTACTGCTACTCACTTTTCCCGACAAAGAATCTTCCCCTACTTGAATGGTAAGGCAAAAATATAAATAAGAAAAAAAAGGTAATTAAAGAAAGCAATGCTTGATACCTATGTTGTGATCTAGATGAAGCAAGCATAAGAAGATTACTGGACCATTTAGCAAGCTTCTCAGGGCCATAGGGAGGACTATTGAGTTTCCTAGATGATCATGCCAGTCACTGAAATGGAGTGACAAAACCAAGATGCAAATCATACTGGCTTTTTCAGTCCTGTTTTATGAGTGGATGAAATACCTATTTTTAAATACTAAAATTACATGTGGTAAGGTCAGATGTATATACTACATGAAAACTTTCTAATACCGTAAACACCCTAAATATCATGGGTGGAGGTCTTGGGAGACAATATAGCTGTCACATACAGCACAAAAATACTGCTTTTCTGCAGAAATTATCCTGTGTATTTGTTTGCATGATAAGTTACTTTTTTGGATCAGTTAACAATGAGAGGTTAACATCTTTATAGTCATAAGGTCAGGTATTAGCCACAAGATTAAGCAGTTGTGAAATGAAGTGGAAAGGCTGAATAGAAGTGTTAAGAGGCATTATAGAATGGATATTAGTTGCATATTTTTAGCAAAACTATAGACATATCACTTAATATGTTCCTTAGTGGCTTACTCTAATTGCACAATTGTAGAAGCATGTATTTCATAAAAGTAATTTAGCTTGCCTTATATATGAGAGTTGTTTTTTGTTACTGTTGTTCCACGAGATAAATATTCTAAATGTGAAAATATGTTAGAAATATAAAACAAAATGAGAGGAGCATTAAAAATAACATGGGGATCATCAACCAAAGGAAGTATCAGAATGTGAAGCATTTGTATTTAACACAAGGAATGGCTGTGTTATATATATACCCCTTTTAAATAAAGGGATATAGAGAGTGCTAGTTTAAAAGAATTCTTCCTCTAAGTAGACTCTTTCTTTGCTTCCAGAGAGCTCACACAAGTTTCTGGAAAGTGAAATAGAGCAATTGTGCTGTGGAAAGAGTTACAGCACTGTTGTGGGTGTGGATAGTATAAGGAGATGGGGGAGAAGATTGTTAGAAGAAGTAGTATCTTTTATTATTATATCATGGACATAATTCTTAAAACTAGCCAAGCTTCCAAATGGGCAAGCCCTCCTTAAAGTCTAAAATGGATGGAGTTAACTTTCAAAGATAATTACAGACTGAAAATAATTTTTGTCAGGCATAGTTGTAAGGACACTTCATTGTTTTTCCCCCAGGTGTTTTATTGAGTGGATCATTCCACAGATCCAGTTTACTGTGTAGTTGTGCAAGAACTTACACTGGCCAACAGAAGGGTGTGGAGCAGTTGTAGCAGTAAAAAGGTGAAAATGGAAGTATAGAATTAGTGCGTTTCTTGGCAGCAGTATTAGTTTAGGTTGGCAAAAATAGCTTGTCCAGCTACAGCTTTAGCCCGGAATGCGTATATTTTATTTGGGATTAGAGTATGAGAAAATTATTACATAAGACAGAATCAAGTTCTTTCCCAGGTCTCAGACTTCTAATGTTCAGTGCATTTGTGAGTTTCATTTCCCAGGATCATCCTTGATGATATTTAAGATACATAAATACTCTGGTGGGTGTTACATTGGTGTGCAAACTCATAAGCGGATTTCAGTTTATTACAGTGCCTTGTAAACAAGAGAATAAAATCGGTGAGATTTCTTATTGTACTGTAATATTTTTATGTGCAAAGAGCTTCCTGGCACTCCACTGTAAGCTAGCATTTTTGTCTTTGTCAACCACATGCAACTTACCTTTCCTTTAAAACCATGTTAATTAGCATTTTTAATGTTTTACACTTAACATGGTAACATATTAACAGTAAACATATGCAGTTAGGCTTATTGGTCTCAACCTGAGTTGAAGTACTGTGACTTTAGGGTCTCTTTGAAATCTGTGCATCCAAATATGGCTTGTTAGCTTGGGTTGGTTTTGTTTTACTATTAGGGTTGTAGGGGGGATGTAACACAGTATCTACATATTTCATACTTTTAAATCACCATGACTGTGAAAGTGCCATAGGAATTTCTTTGGAGTGTTCCTGCTTATTAGGGTAGTCACTTGTAACTACTGCAGTGTCAATTTTCTGTGAAAAACACAGGTAATATGAAAATTTGGGCATGTATTTCTAGATGGAATGCTACTCATGAAAGCAGGTTGAGCATAGCTGTAGGTGGATGTGCATAATGGTAAAATGACAGTTTCGGATGTACCTATGTAAAATATTTTCACCTTACATGAAATATTTTTAAAATTGCTCCTTCATATAAATGCTTCCTTACAGATGTGAAGTCTCATTTGTATGCACAAAAACACATTTCAC